TTAGAGTACTATATAAACAAATTAATATAGAGTAGGTAAAGTTGCCTTTACTAATTTAACGAATTTATGTATAATTTTAGTGTTATAAACAAATTTAAAAAAAAAAAAAAAAAAAAAAAAAAAAACAATAAAAAATCATACAACCTAAAATTTATTTAGATAATAAATCCTAATAATTTGCACAAAAATATCTCCCAATAAAAATATAAAAAGTTGCAATTATATAAAATGAAAAAAAGTAAATACCACTGTATATAATTATATTTAGATTTATTTTAATATATATGTATTATTATTTTTATAATTATTTTATTTTAAAAAATACTAAATTTTTTTTATGATTTTATACTAACTGTAATTTTAATTATAATATCCCAATAAAAACAGAAATGTAAAAATAAAAAAGTGCTGTTTTGATCTAATATTCTATATTTTTATATAATAATTGAATTTTTCATTTCAAAATTTTTGGTTATTAAATTTGTTAATATTTTTATTCATTTTTAATATATGTATTTTCTTTTTTTTTTTTTTTTTAGTTATTTTAAAAAGATTTCTGTATAAATGTATAAAATTAACTCGTAGTTCTTATGTAATATATAATAAAACTTTTACAAAAATATAGAGGTATTATATTTAATAAAGATATTATTTTATTATATTTACATCTTACCCCTTAAAATACATAAATTTTAGCATATAGTGTTTATTTAACATTAAACAATTTATTAATATATGCATGTACTACTTTTCATAAAAATATTTTATTTCCATAATTTTATTTTTTCCGTAAAACATACATGTTAAAAAATATAAATTTTCATACATAATTAGTGAAATCATGCACAAAGAAAAACAATTCTGTCAATTGAAATTAATATCCATTGTATAAATTTTTTTTTCTTACATAAAAATTATATCCTTAAGATAGAATCTCAAAAAAAAAAAGTGTATTTAGAGAACAATTTTTTTTTATCCTTTTAAATAGCTTGTTTCTTTACTTGAAACAATTGGCAAATTGGTGAAATATAATATTTTTTAGACTTATACCATAACTCTATATCTAAAAATATTAACTTGTTATATTAACAATTTAGTAAAACAGATAAAAAATCTAAGGAAAAAAAAGGAAAGAAGAAAGAATTTTGTAAGGGAAGTATAAAAAGAGAATCATTCATTGATAGGATTACAATTAAATGTACAATAATCTTTTTAAGTTTCTAATCTCAGCATAAAAACTAAAACACCCAAGACTGAAAGTGTCAGAAAACTGAGGATATATATATCTTATCTATCTTTTTTTTATTTCTTGTCAATAATTTTTTTTATTACAAAAAAAATAAATTAAATGAAAAAATAAAATATAAAAAGGTCCTTCCATTTTGGAGGCATATAATAATTTGGTGAAAAATAAAAGAAAATTTTGATTTGGAAGAAACATTTACATAAAGGAAAAATGTAAAAAATAAATTAGGTAGAAACAATGAGAAATATAATAAAAATACAACGATACAATATTTTTAATAAAGGTATTCCATTTATATTTATGCAAAATTCTCAATATGTTTAATGTAAGTATTATGTACTAAAAGTTATATACTTTAGATTATTAAACAATTAAATAATTTTAGTTCATAGTTGATTATAAAAACAATTATTCATTATCAAATATAAGAAAGATTCTTCTATATCATTTTTTTCAAATTTTTAACCTAATACTTTATATAACTTATATAATTTATTTTTCAATTTAATGTTAAAAAATCTTTGCATATAATTGGAAAAACAATTTAAAAAAATTTGAAATAGTGCTACATAATAATTTTCCTTATTATAAAAGTATCTTGAAATAAAAATATTCTAATATCTTTATTATTCTTAATGTATTAATTTTTTCATAAAAGGGATTTAACTAATTTAATAAATATATTTCCATATTTTTATTAAAATTAAATCCTTAATATAAAAGGCTTCAATTACACGTAATCTTTCCACTATGAACGTATAACTTTCTGTAGAGTAAATTCAAACTTAACTAATTTTTTAAAAACTAATCTTCATCATAGATTAATATAATTCGTTAAAAATTAAAGTATATATTTAAAAAAAAATTACAAAAAAAATATATGTAATCATCAATAAATATATTCGAAAAAAAAAAAGTAAATGCTCTGAGAAAAAAAAAGTTTTCTTTTTTATTTTTATATACATATAGTATTACTTTAGATAAAATGTCAAGATGTTTTCTTAAATATCATTTTCCTTAGTTATTTCTTTATTTTATATTAACATTTCATGAATTTATAAGTATTAATAATAGTTTTATTGATTAATTATTAAATGGATTTTTTCTAGTAGAAAAACACATACACATACCTAAAATGTATTATTTCGAATGCGTATATTGTTATCTTGTTTCATAGATTGTTCTTTTTCAATATATAATGTATACTAATGTTATTTATTTTTTTCATTCCAATTATAGAATTTATATTTTCCTTAAATTTTTCATTTGTTCATAAATTAGGTTACACAAAATTTTTGGTATAATCTTTAATATACTTTTCTCTCGTTTTTCAAAATATATTCTTATACTCTTCGAATTTTCAAAATATTGATCCATTTTAGAGTATATTATACAATATTTAATAAAAGTACTTAGAGATTTTAAAAGATCTAAATATTTTTTAACATTTATATATTTTTTTATTTATATAAATTTTTCTTAATTGTTAATAAATATAATCTTAGTTGAAATAATTTTTATAGGTAATATATTAATAATGCTCTAATCTAGGAATAGAACTAATATACTTTTTTTGTACGAATCANCTAACAAAAGAAACATTCTTTTAAAAAATTTTTATTTAATCCACAGTGTGATTCCTATAAAACTTTGATTTATAAAAATATATTGCAAACAAAAAATGAGTTGAACACCCAGTTAATAAATCACCTGTCTATCAATACTATAGTAAAGAATTTGAACAGGAAATTAATAAATCAAGCATTGAACAATATAATTAATATAGTGAATGCAAAGTTGTTTCTACTAATTTTAGTGGTAAAAATTATATTAACTCTTCAAATGAATAAATTTATACATGTATTTTACATAACTAAATACTTATTGTTCTAGAATCCTCTATTTAAAAAAAAATATTATCATAATTCTTATTAAAAACGTAAAACCTCATTAAAATTATAGATAATACGTAAAATAATCTTTGAAATAAACTAATAATTTTAAGCTACAGTTATTAAAGGTCTTTCGGTAATACATTAAAATTAAATATTAATAAAAAAGAAATATATTTTTTTTTTTGCAATTAAAATAACTAGCTATACGGAAAATACGCAGTTAGCCATACAAAAACTACGTAAAAAAAAAAAAAAAACATTTGTTAATTTTTTCGTTTCTTTTTATAAAAATGAAATACGTAAAAAAAAATATATCCTTTTTTTTGAGAAAAAAGAAATTTAATGGTCAAAAAAATAATGTTCTAAAAAAATAAGAAGTGATTTATTTTAATATAAATTTATTTGAATTTTTTTTTTTTTTTTTTTTTTATTTTAGCTCCTTTTTTAATATTGAGATTTTTTAAAAAACAAAGGAAAAAAAAAAATTATAAGAAATGGTTTATGAACATAGAACAACTGGTTTTTACTTAGAATTAGAATGTATTATTTCATACATGTAATAACATTTCTATATCTTAATATTGTACTTTTTTTTATACAGATTTTTGTAAGAATAATTGGTTTTAATAACCATCTTAATAATGAATAGTTAATATAATATTTTTATTACTTATTTTTTCCATTAAAATTATTAAATGCACATTAAAAAAAAAAAAAAATACAATTTAGGTTAATGAAAAATTAACACTTCTAACTTTATTTCTTGATTTTTTCAATTATCTATGGATTTATTTTAAAAGAGAAACGGCTTTTCTGTTTTTTTTTTTTTTTTTTTTTTTGGTTGTTTTATAAGTTTCTTAATAGATATTTTGTAATTTAAAAGTTTAAAGTAATTTGGGGGTTTTTTAGATAAAATTTTATATTTTTTTTTTTTTTTTTTTTTTTTTTTTTTATTAGCCTACAATAGTTATGTTTTAATATAATTTTATTCAAATGTTTTTCTATTTATATAAAAAAAAAAATTTTTTTTATTATGTTTAAATAATATATTTTGTAATATTATTTCTTTTATATTATAATTTTTATAATTAAGTTGTTTTTATTATATATTTATAAATATGCATTAATGCATATATACTTTGAAACTAATATTTTATTGTTTTTAAAATATGAAAGAAAAAATTATTTGCTATATTTGACAGTTGTTATTGTTTTAATTAATCATATCTTTAGATAATTTTGTACTAACATTTTTTTTAAATACTAATTTTATTTTTATATATTTTATTTTATTCTTAATTTTTCTATTTTTTTTTTTTTTTTTTTTAGCTTAATAAAAAATATGTAATAATATTGTATAAATTAAAAAGTTAATTTTAAATGAAAAAAAAAAAAAAAAAAAAAAAAAAAAAATAATTAAATACTTCCTAGTAGTCCTTTCTACTTATTCAAAAGTCAAAAAAAGAGTCATATTCAAGGAAGCAAATTTCAAAATAATTAATAAAATAAAATCTAATAATAACGTACATAAAAAAATAAAAAAAAATTTTCTTTTACTTTTATTAGATATGCATAAAAAATTTTCCTAGATTATCATTTTATTCTTTTAAATATTTTTCACGCTTCATCAACTATTTATTTTGCAACATATTGCAAAATTTCATATGTAAAAGTATTAATAATATATTTTATTAACCGTCATTTTATATTATAAATTTCAAAAAAAAAATAAATATTTCTTATGATCTACTTTTTCTATTAATTTTCAGTTAAATTTATTTTTATACATTTATAGTTAAGTTTGTATATACCATTAAAATAATATATAAATAGAATGTGATAAAAAAAAAAAATAATTGAAATAAATAAATTTACAAAATAATTACTATAATTAATTATATAATTATATTAAAGATACTTTTTTAAAGTTTATATTCAAATTTGTTCTAAATACCTTTTAAAAATTACAATACTATTTATTTTAGTAGAACGATCATTTTATAAGACTGTAACTTAGTAATAATATATATTCATGAGATAATAGCATGTTGAGATGATTGCATTTTTTTTTATTTTTCTATCAAAATTATAATTATTTTAAATTATATATTTTTTTAAACATTTGAAATTTTTTTCTTTTTTTTTAATTTATAAAAGAATTAGATGAAACATTATTTACTTATTTACATTTGCTATATTATTTTGTGATTATAATTTAAATAAAGATATAACATCTTAATTACTGTTAAAATTTTTTTTATCTGTATACTATATTATTTTTACTTATAATTGTTATATATATTGGAATAATCATACATAACATTGATTATAATGAATTTTTTCTTTATTTTTACTCAAATAATATTATTTTTATATAATGAAATATGTGCATGAGCTCAATTTCAGTTTGAATTCATATTTTTTTACCGTGATTAAAAATTAAATGTATAATACAATCACATTTTCATGATTAAAATAAAATAATTATTATTATTTTCAATGCATATTTTATAATGTAAATTATAATTTTTATTATAAAATGTAATTTACAATTATTTTTTTAATTACAATAAATACATTTATTTGCTTTATCCTTTTTTTATTTTTTTATTTTTTGAAGTTTTTTAATTTTCTCATTTTTAATCCATTTTTTTCGTTATAATTATGATTATTAAGTAGTAATATATGAAAATATTAAAACATGCATAAATTTTTAATGTCAACTTTATATCCCCTTTTAACCAAACTACATTATATTAGAAACAATTAATTGTTAAATAATAATAATTAGTACTATAATAAATCATATTTAGAATTAAATGAAAAAGATTACCAAATATGCTATTCTTAAAATTTCTCTAATATTATATCATAAAAATATAATGAATTATTATCATCGCTTTTACATCCTAAATTATAACATAGTTATTTTCTTGTTTTATATTTTTCTTTTCTATTATTGTTATAATTAGTAATGTTTTATTACATTAAGTTCAAGAATACTGTTTATAATCACGATGATTGTTAATTGCATGAATATTATTCCTTGTTATCCACAAAAATTTTTGTTATTTAAATTTTGTCCTTTTTATTCTTTTATGAAAATGAAAAATTAGTTGTATATAAAATCTTTATTCTAAAGGAAATTGTTAAAAAATATATTCCACTGTTATTATTAAATATTTAGTGTAAATGTTAAGAATTTCATTAATCTATTCTCTATATATTATATAAATATACAATTTCCTTAAGAATCTGAAATAAAAAATTAAATAAATTTTTTTAAAATTATTTTTTTTTTTTGAATATTTAAGTGTTTATTATTTTTATTTTTAATTTTAAAATTTTAATTATTTTATTTTTTTTTAATTTTTAATATTAAATATAATTAAAAATATATAAGTGTGTATAAATAAAAAAAAATAAACAGAATAAATAATGTTACATCTAATGTTTATACATATTCTAAAAACAATTCTCACATAAATAGAAGTCGTATTAACAATTATATGTCAACTACAAAAATATATAATAAAAGTAGGAAAAAAACGATGATAAAATTTTCTATAAAAATTATTATATTTACTTTCTTAAAATGGATGTTACAAGATTCTAATAATGTAGGATAATAATAACTTTTTAAATTTTTTATATATTTTCGTTATTAACATTATTTTAAGCTAAAATTTTATTACATAAACAAATTTATTTTTTATGTTGAATGTTCCCATATTTTAGTGTTTTTACTATCAACTTTAGAAATGCAAGATCAACTTAGAAAAGAAGTTAAATCTAGAATCTAAAAGATCCTTAGCAGAAAGTAAGAAAGATTTAAATTCAGAAAACGAGGTAATAAAAATGTGCATATCAGGTGAATTAAAATTTTATAAAAAACGAGATGTTGCAAAAATAACTTTACATTTACAAAAAAAAGAGAAAGATGAAAATGACAAAAAAGTTGAAGAAACAAATGAAGAAATAGAAGAAAAAATTATTGAAATGGATGACTTAAATAAAAAGTTAGATGAATTTAATGACATGTTAGAGGAATTAAATGATATGATAGAAGATAAATTAGAAAATGATGCATTAGATAATATTGATATAGAACAAGGATATTTAATTGAAATAACTAAGAAAAAAAATAAAATATGCTTTAATAAAAAAAAATTACGCAAATATTTAAAAAAGTTAAAACCAGAACCTATAGTTTCTATTCTTTTCCTACCATTTGTTGCATGCATATTATCTATGATAACATTTGTAACAGATGATTATCAATTGTATAATATAACTGTTTTATTTCTTAGTTTATCTCTTGTATTAACGTCGATCCTTGTAATAAATACAAAAGAAAATAAAAAAGTTTAATAAAAACAAATAACATATTTATTTGTTAATTGTCTAAATTAAATATTCTGTTATAGTATTATGCAATCTAACTAATAAAGAATATATAAAGAAAACTCTATTTGTTTTATTTGTTATAAAACCATGTTACAGATAACTTTTTATTCTATAAATAATTATACTATAATGTAAGATAAATAATTTTAATTTATATTCTATTTTTAATCTAGTTCTTATATAGATATATGAAAAATTATAATATGTTATTAAAGACTTAAATTATATTTAATGTTTTATTTACCATTGTAGTCATATTTTATTCATTTCTTTATTTTAAATATCGATACTTGCTCATTTCTATGTCTATGAATTAATCTAAAACTTTTATTTCACTTTGACACCTTTTTTTATATTTAAAAATATCCATTTTCTTTATAATAGCTTATATCCTACCTCATTATATTACTCTGTACTAATTTTTTGAATTGTTCGTTTATTAATTGGTTATTCAAAGAATTTTATAATACTTTGAATAGTTAAATTTATAAAGAGTATATATAGAGATTCCTTCTAAAATTTTTTATTATAAAATTAATTATTATAAATAATAATTAATTGCTTATAAATTATACTGTTGTTTTATTAACT